TCATCAGAGCCAAGCTCCCACTTCACGTCGTCACAAAACGGTGAAGGCAGCAAGTCTCCAGAAGAGGTTCTAACACAAAGTGCCTGGAAGATCCAGCAGTAGCACAAGGTTTCAGAGAGCAGCTCGAACATGGGCTGATAAACAACCCGACAACAAACAACCCAAATCTCAGCGCGGAATGGCATATTCTCGACGCTGCCATGACATAAAAACCTGCAGAGAGACCCTCGGTCAGATGGAAAAAATACACCAGGACTGGTTTGATGAAAATGACGTGGCAATCAATGTACTCGTCGATGATAAGCGTACTGATTTAACTGCCTGACAGAACAACCCTCAGTTTCTGACCAAAGCTGATACCTTCTGCAAGAAGAAAGCGGCGGCCCAGCGGGAACTTCGCGATCTAAAGAACGACTGGTTTAAAAATAAAGCACGTGAAACATAAAAATTTGCAGATCAGCACAAGATGCACGAATTTTTTAATTCCACCAAAGACATGGGTCACATACAGGGGGCACCTCAAGGCACTGAAAACCTTCACCAACGTACTATATGTTCCATCCTCCGACTTTGCTGGGAAGACAAGAGAACAAATACCAGTATTCTTGCTGACACCTGCTGTAGGAGCATTGAGGCTACCATTATCCGTGAACAACTATGCTGGACTGGCCATGTTATCCGCATGGACGACAGTAGACTGCCACAGTAGCTACTTTACAGTCGGCTAACGAATAGTAAACGTAACGCTGGAGGGCAACTGAAAAGATATAAGGATAGTCTTAAGACAAACCTGAAAAAGTGCCAAATCGACCCCCTCACCTGGGAGACGATTACTCCTCACCGTAACACTTGGAAGAGCACCACACAAGAAGGTGTCAATACTTTCGAGTTAGCCCGACTGCATAACGAGGAAGACAAGCGCCAACGCCGGAAAGACGCTGCCGCCGCCCCTCCTGCACTAGATGTAGCCCCCCACATGTGCAACATCTGTGATCGACTCTGCCGGTCCCGTATCGACCTCTTTAGTCACCTCGGAATTCACCAACCTAAGTGACATCCTTAATAACTCATATCATTGTATCATAGCTGGATGATCGCCATACTCGATTCCGAGTGACAGCAAAGTAGTACAGGTAGTAGTAGTGTGTTTGTGTGTATGTAGTCATCTATATACATGTTCTTCATACATCTACCGCGTATTTACTCATCTTCTTATTGTCAATAGCTTTATCTATTTACTTTTTTACTTATTCATTTTACCGTGAGAAATAATGAAGGAGGAAGGTTCCTATAATGTCTCGACTGAGCACATCCACACTGAGCAGTAAACCAGCTTTATGACTAGTATGGGACATTAAACCTTTGTTACATCACGCTAAGTACCTCATCACGGCCAGCACCAGTTACGGACGTCGTAATACACCTTGGTTGCCTCACGTCAAGTAACAGACCACAGACAACAAGAGTAAAGACGTCACAAGACACCTTGGTTGTGTTCTGTCAAGTAACAGACCACAAACAACAAGAGTAAAAACGTCACAATACACTTTGGTTGTGTCACGTTAAGTAACAGACCACAGACAACAAGAGTTGAGGAGTCACATTACACCTTGGTTGTGTCACCTCAAGTAACAGACCACAGACAACGAGTTAAGGCGTCACATTACACCCTGGTTGTGTCTCGTCAAGTAACAGACCACAGACAACAAGAGTTAAGGCGTCACAATACACCTTGGTTGTGTCACCTCAAGTAACAGACCACAGACAACGAGTTAAGGCGTCACATTACACCTTGCTTGTGTCACATCTTCTATTTACCCACAGTCAACCTGAAGACAATAATCAACGCTAACTATCTACTCCAAGAAAAAAAAAATTCAAGACCTCTGTGGTTGGTGGTTCACTTTCGCGCTATACTACCGCCTGCAGCGAGATTTTTCAGTAATAGAAAAAAAGAACTCTGAGACATGGGTTTGCTCAACTATACGCAGTTCAATTCTGGTCACCGTATTACAGAATGGATATAGAATCCCTGGAAAGAATTCAGAGGAGAATGACAAGACTAATCCCGGGCATTAGGAACCTTGAGTACAGAGACAGGTTAAAGCATCTTAATTTGCACTCCCTCGAGAGACGTAGAGTGAGGGGTGATATGATAGAGGTGTATAAATGGAAGTCAGGGCTGAACAAAGGGGACATTACTAAGGTACTCAAACTATCCAACCAGGAGCGAACTCGTAAAAATGGTTTTAAATTGAAATAGGTAAACATTGGTTTGGAAATAGAGTAGTGGACGAGTGGAACAAGTTTCCAAATATCATCATTAAGTTGAATACGCTGGATAGCTTCAAACATAGGTTGGATGGATATATGAGCAATAGGGGTTGGGTGTAAATGGGACTGTCCAGTATGGGCCAATAGGCCCGCTGCAGTTTACTCCATTCTTCTCTCTCTCTCTCTCTCTCTCTCTCTCTCTCTCTCTCTCTCTCTCTCTCTCTCTCTCTCTCTCTCTCTCCAAGCATGGCTCACTGTTCATTTATAAAGGCTATTACCGTCAACCTCTTCAGTCATGCATTAAGATCTGATTTCGACATTTGTCCTTAAAAGCATTGTCATGTCAATTTCTTGCGACAAAAAAAATTAAAAAAAATTAAATTTCAACCTTTTTTATTTTATTTTTTATTGGACGTTCTTATCATTTCCATTTTATTAATTTCTTAAATATTTTTTCAAGGTTAAACTTGAAAATAAGGTAAGTATTCATTAGATTTCTGGTTAAATTCAGTTCAAGTAATATTGATTAAAGATGAATATACAGGTAATGAGGAGAGAGATGAAGAAAGTGAGGAGGAGCAGGAGGCAGTGTGTTGAGGCACTATCCTAGTCACTGTCAGAAATGTACGCTTATCATGATAAAAATAATATACTGTTATGCCGAGGCATAATTTCGTATTATAATCTTGTAAACTAGGTGTTTTGATTGTTTTCTGTCCCATGCAGCAGCTTTTTTTGGTAAATTTAATGAAATTTTCGTGTATATATTTATGATAATGATGTATTAATTATGTAAGAATAATCTAGAATGTATTGCATCATTTTTTGTTCTGATTTACTTCTTCTTGGAAGCCTAGATCATTCTAGAATTCTCCAGGCGGGTCTTGAGCCGACCTACCGCGTCTGAACATCGCTAGAATGTTCTTGGCGTCTGACGAATCATATATTATAAGGGGCCGCGGCCTGCCTAGGAGTTTGTGAGTCGCTCACCTCTATTCCCAGTATAAAGACTAAGCCTAGCAAAACAACTGAAGACAATTGTTGTGCAAGTATTGTGGAATTGTAGTGATTAATATAAGGTGAGAAGACTAAGGTTGTGTGCTGACTATATATTTGAAGTGTGGAGTTAAGCTGTGAAGACATTACCCTGTTAACAGTGTTGTTAAGAATTATTGTTTATTAAACAAGACTACAGTACACAAGCATGTTTCTGTGACCTGGTGGAAATCTACCTGCCTGTTGTTTGTCTGTACACTGATACCGATCGTCAGGAATTACCGGAGACTGGCGGGACAGCCAGTGGTAATTCGACAACTCTCGTGAGATATCTACTGCTTCTGCACATACGACCCAAGCCGCTGGTAACCAGTGGTGGAAGCTGGGTAGGCGGTGACAAGAGAAGGGTCGTAACAATACTAATATGCATTACTCAAAAGTGCCATAAATTTACATGGGTATGTTCGTTAGGTTCGTATAATAGAATTATTTTTAATTAATAAGTTGGAAGTACGTACACCCACTGAAAAATTATTGGGCACCCGTGTCATATTGTATCACGCCGTAAGGGTGCCGAATAATTTTTGATTGGGTCTACAGTAATGTTTGGTGTACAACATTACTGTACATAATACTTCAATGTGGACAAATGTAAAGTACTCAGTATAGGGGATGTAAACAGGGAAACCAGATACCAGATATGAACAACGATGTTATTGAGAAATCCGACTGCGAGAAAGATTTAGGAGTAATGATCCTTCCTTCCTTAGGCTTTAGTAAGCCCCTTTATAATATTTATACTGTATATACTTGTCACACTTGCCAGATGCTTCTGGTGTCATTGTACAGGGGTACCTAGTGACAGCACTAGGATCCCGCTTCCTCTATTAAGGAATAACCAATTGAAACTGAAAATTGAGTAATGATAGGTAGGAATTTTAAGCCAAGTAAACAATGTATATTTGCTCGAAACAAGGCTAATAGAGTACTTGGGTTCATACAAAGGAGTGTTAGTTAAAAGACTAGCGAGGTCATCTTAAAACTATATCTTGCGCTTGTGAGACCCCACTTGGATTACGCAGTTCAATTCTGGTCACCGTATTACAGAATGGATATGGAATCCTTGGAAAGAATTCAGAGGAGAATGACAAGACTAATCCCGGGCATGAGGAACCTTGAGTACAGAGACAGGTTAAAGCTTCTTAATTTGAACTCCCTCGAGAGACGTATTAAACCACATTTGGTCTTTGAAAATTATTTCGTACGTTGTAGAGGTAATTATTTTATTGCACTAAATATTGGGAGTCATCCAAGGTGGTTTGCTACGGAAGTGAATGAAGTGACATATAATAACCAACAGTAAAGAGGATTGCAGCGCAGAAGCAAGCAACTCTACTGTACTGTGGTTGGCTGGCCACGTAGGCAAAAACTTTATACAACACTAATAATAAGGTTCAAATAAAAAAAAGAATAATCTGCAGCAACTTTCCGGCAACAACAATGACAACCTTGGGCGGTGTTCGAATATGTGTGATGTATTTGTACTGTAAGTAGTCGTATATAATGATGAAAGAGGGTGTAATTCTGCCTAATTTGTTACATTTTGATGTTGTTCACAACCAGTTGATGAATTCATATAAACCAGACAAAAATATAAGTAATTATTACTTTGTACAAACTGACAAAAGTCATGATTTGCAAAAATCTGTTATGCTCCTAATGTAGCCCACATGCAGCCGGGGAGTAATGCAGCCCACATGCAGCCGGGGAGTAATGTAGCCCACATGCAGCCGAGGAGTAATGTAGCCCATATGCAGCCGGGGAGTAATGTAGCTCACATGCAGCCGTGGAGTAATGTAGCCCATATACAACCGGGGAGTAATGTAACCCACATGCAGCCGGAGAGTAATGTAGCCCATATGCAGCAGTGGAGTAATGTAGCCCACATGCAGCCGTGGAGTAATGTAACCCACATGCAGCCGGGGAGCAATGTAGCTCACATGCAGCAGTGGAGTAATGTAGCCCACATGCAGCCGGGGAGTCATTAGTTGATGATCCCATAATGGTCACTACTCCCAAATGGTGTGAGCACACATATGACACACAACCAGTGTAAATATACCAACTAGTTCACTCACCACAAATGATTCACACACACACACAAACAGACACACACAGACACACACACACACAGTAATCAGGTGTGTGGAAGCGACGACTCACTCACACGTAATACAGTCCTTGGACACAGCGTGGGTTCAGTGACAACACTATAACTCAGCCTGGCGGCTCTTGTGAAATAATTTTAAATTCAGCGAATATTTTTTAGCACGACTCAAGGTCTTCAAAGGTCAAGATTTTTTTTATTATTCGAAAGATAAATTTTCACTCGTGACTGAGGACTAATAGAACAACTCTATTTACTGTAAGAGACTCAATCCACAGTAATATCGAGGCGGCTTTAACTTACACATATTTCAAGAGATTCATCAAAAGATTCATTGGTTAATATTTTATTAGACCTCGTCAATAAGTCCGCATTTTCAAATATTCGTTTGTCACACCTTTAGCTCCTATCGAGAGAAAAAAACTCGTCTGATCAAGAAAGCGAGTTTCATACAGTTTGACTCTATTGCTTCCGCTGTATCAGAGGTTCAGTTTGTCAAGAGATACATTGTCACAACGCTACTCAGGAAATATTTCCACATACAATCATTTGAAAATCTGAGTCCTGACTCCTGCACAGAAATAAAATTGTTACATCGTCATATCCTCCTTGCAGAGCATAAATCAAGGATAATGTTATATTTTTTGGTGTTTCCTTTGTACTTCAAATCTTTTTGTGAACATGAGATACCTATCAATTCTGATTTGAGTGAAATAGATATTTCCTTTTTGTATTTGTCTGCAAAGGATGATGATACAACATAATAATGTACAAAGACCTAACGCTGAGTGGTGTGTAGTATTGTCATTCTGGGACACAATACCCATCCTGTAATGTTTCTCAATTAGTGAAACTAAAGTAAAATGGAATAGGTTAGAGGGCAGCAAGTGGACGCATGGTGGCAGATGACACTACCTGTGGTCGGATGAAGTAAAAAAAACAATGATGATATTACATTTCATATCGTGTTCAATTCTCACATAAAATTCTAAAATTCATGAAAAGTGAACTTTAAAGAAGCAAAACTTATTTTAAATATTAAACTGTGTGATAGTATAGTGTTATATACAATCAATCAATCCAGGTAACCACCTCCAAACGTTTAAGGCTGTCTTCACTACAGTAATCCTCCTAGATTTCGGGTCTCTTCGGTGTTTCAAAGTTTTCAGTCTCATTCACCAAGCCTAGTGTTTACTTTACCCCCACCATCATCCTACCCTCAATTTTACTTTTTAATATTTCTACCATCATCACATCTCCCCCTAATAATATGGCTAAATCATTTCATTTTCTTTATTTTACAAATTTCTTGCCAATTTTAGCACTCTTTATTTTTCTCTATCAATATAAACTATCTTTAAGATTTTCCTGTAAAATCACATATCAAAGCCTCTTCCTGGTGTCCGCTGAAAGCTTACGGGCTTTTGACCCCCACATTGGCAATTATCATACATTGCATTTCAGCAACCAGGTCTCTTTAAATTATTAAATGCATTTTTTTGCATGATAGATTCATGTTTTAATATATATATATATTTTTTGTACATTTACAATCACAACTAATGTTACTTCCCACATACACAAAATGTTCCACTTGTCTACCATATTTTTATCTCAGGGTAATAATTCTAATTTGATGCAGCCTCTACTACTTTCGTCCTTACAGCGTTAACTCGATGTCCATATTCTTCGTCTTATTTCACAATCTGGCTGTTGATGCAATTGCCTCTTCACCGTCTGTAATAAGAGCAGCAGCATCTGTATACGGAATATGCAGTTTCATGTCTACAATTTTTTGAACGATTCTTATGTCGCCTTCTTTAATGCATACTACTGTGGGTCTTTTTTTTTCGAAGACATCAATAAACTTATTGTGTTTAAACTTGTCTAAAGCTTTACAAAATCCTCAAAAAAGATACGAAACTTAACTCTGGACCTCTAAAGTCACTGAACTTAAAATTTTAAAACCATTATATACTGTACCTTCTCTTGTTCCCCTTTCCTTCCTAAATCTATTTGATCTTCAAATAACTCGCTGTCTATTGTATGTTTGGAATTATATCTAAGAAAATTTTACAGGCTTAATTCATAAAGCTTATTGTCCAACATTGGGTGCACGTTAAGGCTCCAAACTTTTTAAGAATTTTTTTTTACATCACTATGCAGTTTTTGTATGTGATTTTGTCAGTTTTGTCCTGGTTAGATTTTTGTTCAATAAGTTTCCTCTCATATTATTTTTAAAATTAATTCTCCAGCCTGCCTTTTTGACTTTCAAGTCCTGACTCCACCAATAATGAAACTCAGTTTAGGGTTTCTCAAGTGTCATTTAATGGTATCAAACTTTTTTTTTTTTCAATTCCTTGTTTCAGCTTCATAAAACTCATTACTGGGACATCCTTTGACTCACTGTCTGCCCCTGGGAAACCGTTAGCTTGGGTCATAGAATTCTTGAATTTTTGCTGAAATACAATGTTATTCGCTGATTGCTGCCCATACTATTTTCGTTAACCTCTGGTGGTATTCGTGTATAAATAAGATGCCCCAGGTTATGTTGAAACCATGAATGTGCAAAAAAAGAAAATTGCTGTCTTTACATAATGGTAATAATACATGACTAACAGAATCATTGATAAGTTGTTAAAAACAGAAGTTCAGGTCCTAACTCCTCGAAACTTATCACCGCGAGTGATGCATGAATCATGCAAATTCTAGGAGAATTTAGTCGTTATGTGTAGCGGTTCTTGATTGTGTGGTGTCTAGTGTGAGCCAAGGCCGAGGGAGGTGGGAGCTTGACGAAGAGAGGAGGTAAGAATGGGTGTAAGGCGGCCCCGTGCTCACTCATGCAGGGTTGCTCACAACGGAGCTGCCGCCAGAGAAAGTTGTGGTGAGGACGTGCGGTGCCGCCGGCGGGTGGAGCGGGAGGGACGGAGCAACGGCAGGTGCGAGAGGTATCCAGTGTGAGAGTGTGAGCCCCTCAGTGTGCACGGAGCCACGGTACTACTACTGCTTCTACATACGATCCCACGCGGCATGCGCCTCCCCACACAAGGTACAACACTTCCCAATCTCTTCTGGTAACACCGCAAGATAAGACTGGCAGTGTCTCGTTTTCCTATTTCTTGTACTTCTATGGAGAAAAAGTTCGTATTCAAAACTCAATAAAAGAGTCTTCAGGTGTTTTAGCATTTTACTTCAAGAAGTTTTCATCAATATCATGATTTGAAAACCTTGAGCTATACTTTGTGACACGCATCATCTACATAACAGTAAGTGCATAAGTTCTACCAGAGTCGCGCACATGTGTGTCCATGCAGGTAATAATAAGAGATTCACGCGAGTCTGAGAGCAGTACTGGATGCTCTTCAGCCTGTTGCACACATGTGTTTAAGAAGCCTGTATTCCCCCAAATACCTAGTGACATTATATATTCCTACAGACACTTTATGGTAGTGTTTTTATACCAATTTCCAATGATTTCTTTTCAATCGGTATACGTATCTAAAAGATCGGGTATGTGCTTCAGTGTTTTCTGGTGGTGATGATCCGCGCCTCACTCGAAATACTCAGGTTAACAAGAACAAGGGGAGGGTCGTTGGTAAGCCTTCTACTGATGACTAATCACTAAAGAGCCATCTTTGGCCTGGAGACTCTCAGCTTATCATTCAGGATATCATCATAATTGATATTCTATTGCTTGTGTAACGACATCATCTGTACACGACCATACTTAAACTAATTATCTGAAGAACACTGACCTGGCGATATAGCAAACAAAAGAAAAACAGTTTTTCTTTATTGTTTATTCGAAGACAAGTTATACAGATGTATAATAAAAATCAACATCGTTCATTATTAAATCGTTCATAAACTACAACACTGAATGATCTATGTACAGTCACCCAAAAAAGTCCTGTCGCGAACCACGATTCAGACTCGTGAACCCGAAGCAGTAGACACTGATACATTACTCTGTCCATAAATGCTTCGGATTCAAGAGACTGAATCTTGGGGTTCATGGTTCGCGACAGGACTTTTTTGGGTGACTGTACTTTTATCATATACTGTATATATATATATATATATATATATATATATATATATATATATATATATATATATATATATATATATATATAGAGAGAGAGAGAGAGATAGAGAGAGAGAGAGAGAGAGAGAGAGAGAGAGAGAGAGAGAGAGAGAGAGAGAGCATAAAGATACAAAGGAAAACTAAGGATTTTTATTTTGCTTTCTATGGATTACTTAACACACACACATATACTGACACATACTTTTAGTGTGTGTGTGTGTGCTTGCTAAGTAATTAATTAAAACACCGAACTTTCAAATGAAAGTTTTGACACCTGTCTTACTCTTAAACTCGGGGAATGTTTGTTAGACGCCCGGGGCACAAGTGTTTTGTACTGGTTGTGCCTCGAGTAAGGCAAAGTGATGTCCTGGTTCTCTCTCAGTTACTCCTGGAGTGAGACAAGGTTGTGTCGTGGTTCTTTCTCAGTTACTCCTGGAGTGAGACAATGTTGTGTCGTGGTTCTTTCTCAGTTACTCCTGGAGTGAGACAATGTTGTGTCGTGGTTCTTTCTCAGTTACTCCTGGAGTGAGACAATGTTGTGTCCTGGTTCTTTCTCAGTTGCTCCTGGAGTGAGACAATGTTGTGTCTTGGTTCTTTCTCAGTTACTCCTGGAGTGAGGCAATGTTGTGTCCTGGTTCTCTCTCAGTTACTCCTGGAGTGAGACAATGTTGTGTCCTGGTTCTCTCTCAGTTACTCCTGGAGTGAGACAATGTTGTGTCCTGGTTCTTTCACAGTTTATTACTTATAAATATTGGGTCTTGAATCTAGCTGGAAACCGCAGTTTGTGTTGAGTG